CTGCATTTAGGACCTTAGATAGGAAAGGATGAGGGAAAGAACGTAACTGGAGTGGGAAGAGCCTCTCCAACATCAAGACATGAAACCTAGAGTTGCCCAGTCTTGCCTGCCTTCTGTGAGAACCTGGCAATTAAGCTGAGCAACTGTGGGGCATCTGTGCCTGGGATCCCCCTCAGCAGATGGAAAAAGAGAAAAATGGTTGGATATACCACTCCTGCAATCCTGCACTGCAGATTAGGGTACAGGGGGCTGGACGAGGACTGGGTTTCCCTGTCTTTGCTTGTCTGTGTTGGGAAAAGCAATGCCAAGACTTACCATTCTAATTTTCCTACTCATCACTCAGCATTGACCCTGGGCAGGAGGCATGTCAATGTGAGAATTGCGGGCGTGGGGTGGGGGGTGCGGGGCGGAGTGCTGCTGATTACTGATGGTGTAGAGAATAGAGTTCTATCCAGTTCTCAAATTTAGAATTCTCCGAGCTTATTTCCCCAGCCTGGCCTGGTTTGAACTTGTCCTGCCCTCTCTGTTTCTCACTAGGAATGCAACTCTGGTGCCCTGGCCTACCCAGTCCTCTGGCCAACAGTTTTCTTTCAGGACTATGAGCAAACCCATCCCCAGCACTGACTGAAGTAGAGACTAGGGAGTAGGATCTGATTATCTCCCTCCCGTGGTCTCTGACTGTGGGCCTCTGTCTCTGTAAGCCCTTCCCTCTTCCCTAGGGGAACCTAAGAAGCCCCTCCTTCCTACTCCCCCTTCCTCTTCTTTGGCTGGGAAAGTGACTGCAGCCTGAATGGTGCCAGACACCTGCCTGCCAGATGTGGCCATTCTCCATTTTTCTCTCCCCCCTCCTTAAATGTCTATCCTTTTCCCTACCCCACTGAGCTCAGACAGAGAGAGCCCCCCACAGGGTGATTTAGTGCTACAGCCCCTCTTCCTCAAGTGCCCCCCTTCCAGTTCCTCTCCCTCTCCCTGGTACCCATGCCCCGCCCCCCTTTATTTCCACCATGTCCTGCAGAGGCCTTCCTGGTACTCCCACCCTGGGGAGCTGGCTTGTGTAAGCCCCAGCTCCTGGACTGGAGAATGAATGGGTGGGGCAGAAGTGATTGGCCTCTGATTCACCCATGGGAGAGTACATCAGCAGGGTTGAGGATAGTGGCAGGGCAGCCAGAGCTGATGTCATTCTCGCTGGTGGGGAGGGGAAATGGTCAGGGAGGAGGTGAGTTGGGAGGGAACCAGCACTCCAAGACTGCAGAGAAGAGGTCTGTGAGATCTTCCCAGGTAGGCGAGAGAGCTCAGAATTGTGGCTGCCTGGTGGAAATCGAATCTTTGTTTTTCCGGCTGGGTTTCCAGATCTTGTCTTTGGATCTGTGTCTCAATAGGACTCAGTAAATGCCCCTCAGCTCCTCCTCTTTAGACTGACCCAAAACATACACTTAAAGGGACCTCTTAGTCCTTACCCCTCTCTCTTTAGCATCTTTTCTCTATCAGTCTTTCTTCCTTTCCATTTCACCTCTCCTTCCGTAGTTGAGCTTTCCTGGTCACCTGGCTTCCTCCACCAATTTCTATCCCATATCATAACACAATGATTCTAGACTTTCCACCAAAGCAGGGGCTCATTCAGAGCCTCTTTTCTCCTTCCTATCCCTCTTTGAAACCTGACTGCCCCCCTGGGCCAGACAGAGGTCTCTGGGGTGGCAGTGAAGCAGGGCAATGGCTTGGCCTGAGTTCAGAGGCAGGACAGATGGAGAGTCCAAGGGCGGAGGAGTAGGACAGGAAGATGGAAAGAGAAGCCCAATGACAGAAAGTAACACAAAAAAGCAGGGCTAAGAGTTAGCAGAAAGCCAGCAGAAACTGGGAGAGTGCGGGAAACCCACACAAAGAGCAGCGAGGCTGAGAGCTAAGAAAAAGAATGGAGCGATGAAGACAGGAAAGTCACAGCAAGAAAAGGCAGCTGGGGAGGGGCCAGGCAAGGGGCAGGCTGGCTCTCCTGGGCTCCCTCATGCTGATGGGCCATAAATCTTGTGTGTGTGCATGTGTGTTTATCTGTCCATCTACGAGCATTCGCACACTGCACATATGTAGGAATCTGTGGTGGGGATAGGGATGATTCCCACAATATTCTTATTCCCCAATTTCTTTCAGGAGCCTCCTTGTTTGAGTCACCCCACACCAACCCCTCATCTCTCAGTATTCCTGATGCTCCAGGGGCCATTCCCAAGGTATTTCTACATCTCAGGAATCCTGTCTCTCTCACTTGGAATGCTGGAATGTGCAGTCAGGATCTGTAGAATCAAGGGGCCCCATCCCCTCACTGCCTACCCCCTATGCCTGCTCACCAGCTGCTCCTGTCCATCTTCTCCTCCCACTCTCCTTGCGTCTCTCCCTCCTCCACATGACCCCTCCTCCAGCCTCTGACCCCTAGCCGCCTGGGGCCTGGGTTGGAGGGGGAGACAAAGACAGGATTTATCACCAGGATAGAGAAGTACCAGGGCCCAGGGCCGAGGGCAATGGCTGACCTCCCTGGAAAGGGAGGGAGTTCTTGGCCAGATGCTGGGAGGCTGGAAGCCTGGGTTCCAATGGCTTCTCCTTTTCCCAGTCCAACCTTGCTCTCTTCCTTGTCCTTGAAAACTTAGGAACAGAGAGAGAAGGGCCTTGAGCTGATTTTAAGCCTTTGAAGGAAAATCTAGGAGGAGGGAAGAGATGAGATTGATGTCTTAGGGGCATTCTCTTATGATACTGAGGAGGATCTGGAAACCAGGGAGCAATCAGGCACCAATTGTTTCTAGGACTAAAAAGGAGTTCAGGTTTAGCACTGCAACAGATGAGATGGAGAGGGATTTCTTCTAATATAAAGTAACTTCTCAAGACCCTGATTGCCAGTAAAGAGGGAGCTAAAGGTGATTATGAGTCCTGAAAATTGGGAGGTACAGTATCACCTGGAAGTAAGGGAAGAAATGGAATTCTCCAAGGGTTACTAGCTCTGGCCCCTCTGAGGTGGCCTTCCCTGAGGTCACCAACTGCCTCTTGAGAGGTGTGAGGAGCATTTGGATCCTGCCTTTACAGTAAATAGACTATTGGTCTGAAATTGTCTCTACTCAGCAGGCAGGGTGTGTGCTCAGAGAGGGAACGGCTTGATCCAGGAGTTTCCGAGAAACCAGACCATACATCTTTTTTTAGTGGACAGCTCCTGCAGCTTCCTTAGCTGTCCTTGGAGGCCCACCAACCCCGCCAACATCTCAGTGTGTCAGAGGCCTCCACAAACCCAACTCTGAAGTTTTCACACCCCTTTCAGCAACTGGCGACCAATATCCTGCTTCCCGCCTTCACTGTCCTGGGAGAAGGCTGCTACAGTTACCTCCAAGTAAGAAGAGGGTGGAGGGAAAAGAAACTGAGGCACCTGGGAGGGAGCTTCCAGCCTACCAGCCTCTTACCGCAATCCCACCAACCCATTCCCATCTGGGTATGGTCAGGGAGACCTTGTTGTGGTTTCCTTTTAAACTCTGCAAGCTGAAACCATTCCTTCATTTCCTGGTGCAAAGCCCAAAACTGGAAATTTTAGTGGGAAGGGTTATAGATTGGGGGGAAGAGATTGGAGAAGGACAAAAGAATTGGGGAGAGGGGGCGGCACAGGGTAAGGAAAAATAGGAAAAGGGAGAAGAGAGCATTCCGTTTTTCCTCACTCCCCCTTCCCCCAGTTGAGAAGGCAGATTTACAGCCTTGGTTTGGGGGTGGGGGTGAGCATAAGGAAGACAGATCTGCAGTTCTGCCCTCTGAGTGTCTGGGTACTTAGCTTTAACTCCCCCATTAGCATCAATCCCCATCTTGCTGCCCATCTGTCTTCTGACATCAGCTCCTTCCCCTTTCTGTAGCCCAGGCTTTCTGACCCTAAGTGGCTCTTAAAGGGCCAGTCTAGACCCCTCTCTCCCTCCCTTCTCCCACTCCAGGCAGCACAGTCTGAGGGGTGTGTGCGCCTGTGCGCAAGCATGTGTGCTGTGGCCATCCTTGCTAAGGCCATAGTGGATGAAGAGCATAGTGTGTGTGCAGGGGCAGCTCTTCCCCAGGTCTCTCTGTTCTCTTTAGACTCCTTTTTCATTATGGACCCATCTTTGTTCATTACCTACTCAAACCCAGAGCAAGCCCTCTGACTGGGCTGGGAGTCACAGACAATGGCTCCTGGAACTAAGGGCTGGAGAAGCCATGTGGATCTCTGGACAGATCCCCTCCTTCCCTCATTTCCTGGAGGCCCAGGGCAAGGGGTATTAAGAACTACTGGCTGTTTTCAATTCTCAGCAAGCAGTGGGGGTGGACAGGTTGGGGACTGAGATTCCGAGATGCCCTAAGCTCTACATTCCTAGCCTCCTTTTCCAGGGGCCCAGGCTGTGCTCTGTGTGTGTGGAGCGGGGGTGGGGGTGGGATTTTAAATCTTTTTTGCCCTATGAGAGAGGTGACATGCCAGATAAACCTGTCTCTGAATTTCCTGGCTCCTCTGCCCTATTCCTTGGCAACTGAGTTTAGGGGGGCAGAGGGGAAACTGGCTTCTCATTTCTCTCCATCTTCTGCAGAAATGCTGTAACTGCACTCCAGGGGCCATATGAATGCCAGGATGTTCGGAAAGTTCTTCTCCCATCTGCCTTCAACCCTTTCTGCTGCAAAGATCTGTAGTCCTGAGGGGCTCTTCAGGATAGCTAAACCCCTTTCCTGATATCTGAAACTCATTCCCCACCTCCCTCAATGCTCCCTTCTCTGGCTCAGGATGAGAGGGAATTAGTGGACGGGAGGCCTTGGGAAAGTGGCCATGCTAAAAATAGGAGCCCCCAGCTGCACACCACCCCCCATGGCCACTTATTTATCACCTTCCAAACCTCATTCTCAAAGAAGCATAAATATTCCTAATTCCTGAAGGCCAGCCCTGAACTCATAAATTTAACTGGGGAGGTGGGCAAGGGGGAGGAGTGATG